ATAATAATAATAATAGATAATAATAATACTAATAACAACAACAACAACAAACAACAACAGTAATAATAATAGAAGCGACCAGCGAAGAGGCAGGGCCAGGAGCTGTGACTCGATCCCTGCAACCACATATAGGTGAGTACACATAAGTGAGAACATACACTCCCCTTCCATGTAACACTGTCACGTTACAACACTGACTCGCAAATCACTGTAGCAGTGACGGGAGCAAAAACAAGACAGTGATATTACCACGTGACGTCTTGTTCCACCTGAAGAACGGAACTAGTAAGTGCTAGTGTAGCACTTTGTTAGTGCTAGTGTAGCACTTTGTTAGTGCTAGTGTAGCACTTTGTGCTAGTGTAGCACTTTGTTAGTGCTAGTGTAGCACTTTGTTAGTGCTAGTGTAGCACTTTGTTAGTGCTAGTGTAGCACTTTGTTAGGGCTAGTGTACCACTTTGTTAGTGCTAGTGTAGCACTTTGTTAGTGTAGAACTTTGTTAGTGTAGCGCTTTGTTAGTGCTAGTGTAGCACTTTGTTAGTGCTAGTGTAGCACTTTGTTAGTGTAGCACTTTGTTAGTGTAGCACTTTGTTAGTGCTAGTGTAGCACTTTGTTAGTGCTAGTGTAGCACTTTGTTAGTGCTAGTGAAGCACTTTGTTAGTGCTAGTGTAGCATTTTGTTAGTGCTAGTGTAGCACTTTGTTAGTGCTAGTGAAGCACTTTGTTAGTGCTAGTGTAGCATTTTGTTAGTGCTAGTGTAGCACTTTGTGCTAGTGTAGCACTTTGTTAGTGCTAGTGTAGCACTTTGTTAGTGCTAGTGTAGCACTTTGTTAGTGTAGCACTTTGTTAGTGCTAGTGTAGCACTTTGTTAGTGCTAGTGTAGCACTTTGTTAGTGCTAGTGTAGCACTTTGTTAGTGCTAGTGTAGCACTTTGTTAGTGCTAGTGTAGCACTTTGTTAGTGCTAGTGTAGCACTTTGTTAGTGTAGTGTAGCACTTTGTTAGGCTGTGTAGCACTTTGTTAGTGTAGTGTAGCACTTTGTTAGTGCTAGTGTAGCACTTTGTGCTAGTGTAGCACTTTGTTAGTGCTAGTGTAGCACTTTGTTAGTGCTAGTGTAGCACTTTGTTAGTGCTAGTGTAGCACTTTGTTAGTGCTAGTGTAGCACTTTGTTAGTGCTAGTGTAGCACTTTGTTAGTGCTAGTGTAGCACTTTGTTTTCTAGTGTAGCACTTTGTTAGTGCTAGTGTAGCACTTTGTTAGTGCTAGTGTAGCACTTTGTGCTAGTTTTTAGCACTTTGTTAGTGCTAGTGTAGCACTTTGTTAGTGCTAGTGTAGCACTTTGTTAGTGCTAGTGTAGCACTTTGTTAGTGCTAGTGTAGCACTTTGCTAGTGCTAGTGTAGCACTTTGTGCTAGTGTAGCACTTTGTGCTAGTGTAGCACTTTGTTAGTGCTAGTGTAGCACTTTGTTAGTGCTAGTGTAGCACTTTGTTAGTGCTAGTGTAGCACTTTGTTAGTGTTAGTATGTAGTACGTATATTGTTAATATTGTTTTGTAGTATATTGTTAATGTTGTTTTGTAGTATATTGTTATGTTTGTTTGTAGTTATTGTTAATATTGTTTTGTAGTGTAATTGTTAATTAGTTGTTTTGTAGTATATGTTAATTTGTTTTGTAGTAATTTGTTAAATTGTTTGTAGAGTATACTAGTAATATTGTTTTTGTAGTATAGTTAGTTAAGTTGTTTTGTAGTATATTAGATTTGTTTGTAGTACACTTATATTGTTGTTGTAGTATATTGTTTTATAATTTGTTATGTAGTACATTGTTATGTGTGTTTTTGTAGTATATAATATTGTTTGTAGTAATTGTTATTTTTGCATTTGTAGTGCTATTGTTACATTGTTTAGTCAGTATATTGTTAAATGTTGTATTTGTAGTATATTTAATATTGTTTTGTAGTATACTGTTAATATTGTTTTGTAGTATATTAATATTGTTTTGTAGTATACTGTTAATGTTGTTTTGTAGTATATTGTTAATATTGTTTTGTAGTATATTGTTAATATTGTTTTGTAGTATATTGTTAATATTGTTTTGTAGTATATTGTTAATATTGTTTTGTAGTATATTGTTAATATTGTTTTGTAGTATATTGTTAAATTGTTATTGTAGTATATGTTAAATTGATTAGAGTTATATTGTTAAGTGGTAGATATTGTTAATATTTTCTTTAAGTATATTGTTAATATTGTTTTTACGTAAATCAATTGTTAATTATTGTTTTGTTAGTATATATGTAATATTCGTTTTGTAGTATATTGTTTAATATTCTTTTGTATGTATATTGTTAATATTGTGAGTATATTGTTTAATATGTTTGAGATATTGTTAATATGGAGAAGATCTGTTTCAAAATTGTTCATGTAGTATATTGTTAATTTTTTGTTTATATTGTTAAATATTGTTTGTAGTATATCTTTAATTGTTTCTCCAGTAATAAATTGTTTTGTGCTAATGCTTAAAATTTGTTTTACATACTAAATACTTCTTCACATATATTGATAATAAATGTACCTCGTGTAATTGCTACAATATTGATAAATATATTTACAATTACATTGTAGAATTGTAAATGCTAGTCATACTAAAATTGTTTACTAGATATGATCTACAAACTATTTTTATGTATATATATTAATAATATTATTTTATATATTAATATTGTTATTTATTATACTGTCAATGATTGTATTTAATAGATATTCTTAAAGTTGTTTTGTAGTAATATGTTAATGTTTTTGTAGTATATGGTAAATTGTTTTGTAGTATACCTGTTAACATTGATTTGTATTATTATTGTTAATATTTTTTGTAGTATATTGTTATTATAGTTTTGTATATATTGTTAAGTTGTTTTGTTAGTATATTGTTAATATTGTTTTGTAGTATATTGTTAATGTTGTTTTGTAGTATATTGTTAATGTTGTTTTGTAGTATATTGTTAGTGTTAGTCTGAAGGGTTATATAAGTTAAAGCCTGGATTAGGTTACATTAGGTACAGTGGTAACATTATCATAATATTTCTCAGTTAAAGACGTAAGCTTCGTTCCCACGTAAATGCAAAGTGTAATTGATGTCCTGTTATATATAATGGTAATTTCCGAGTCGTGTTATCGTCATTACTTGTGGCTACTGACTCACCTGCCCTCGGGAAGGTGAGAGAACATCCTGTAAGCACAGAAGAAGACGAAGAAGAAGAGGAAGACGAAGATCTGTCTTCAGAACTGTTGTTCCATTCTTTTGCTCAGTTCTTTTGTTTTCTTCCGGTCTGAGACGATATTTTAACACTCGCACACAACTACTCTTTACACCTGCACTTCTCCCCCACATCAACAAGTGTCTATTGGCTAGAGCCTTTAAAATATACTGATTCAACCATCCACCCACAAACACACATACACACACACATACACGCACACATAGACACACACACGGACACACACACCACACACACACACACACACACACACCACACACACACACACACCACACACACACACACCGCACACACATACACATGCACATATCATGCATACACACACACTCATACATACATACATACACGCACCTCTAACAAACTATCTTAATATATAATATATATATAAAATTTTATATATATATTATATAAATATATAATATATATATATATATATATATATATTTTATATTATATTTTTATATATAAACAATGCATGGTAATTTCAATAGAAAATTCTAAAACCAAGGTTGAAACATTAAGTACGATAATAGGCAATAAAAATGATTTTAAACGAGATATGGGAAACGTGGCTCTTTGTTGAGCCTTACCTGGCATAACAATGATTATTATTATTATTATTATTATTATTGTTTTTATAAATATTATTATTGGTATTATTATTATTATTATTATTATTATTATTATTATTATTATTATTATTATTAAGTAATTATGGCTTTGTCTTGAGTGTCAAAGGGTCTTGTAAAGGCAGAGAAGAAGTGTGTGTGTGTGTGTGAGACGAGGAAAAAGGGAGAAATATAGAGAGGAAGATGGCAGATTAAAGGAATGATGAGAACAGGGAGAGGAGGGAAGATTAGAGTTGTGGGAGAGAGAAACGGAAGAAAGGGGAGAGAGGGTGGAAAAGGAGGATGGAAGGGAGAAAAACTAGTAGGAAGAGTGAAGGATGAAGGGAGGGATGGAGGAAGACATGACGTAAAAGAAGGAATAGTAGGAAGTGTGGAAAGAAGTTAAGGAGGAGAGAGAAAGCAAGAGAGAACAAAGAACATAATGGATGGAGAACACAAGAGTCCTTAAATTTCCTCAACAACAGTGCTACATTTGTTATGGATCTACGTGGGCTCCCATGATGAACGTCTTGTGACGGATGAAAGTGTTGTGGTGAGGAAATCGACACTTGTGTAACACCTGGGTATCTTTCTTTGAAGACGTTTCTCCAGTCAGTGGTTTTTATCCATGCTGCTGTTGTCAGTTCTGCAAGGCTGAGGGACTGATTACCTTATCTTCTACTGCCCTCACATATGATCTCTGCACTGAACTGATGAAGCCACAGGTTGGCAAAACGTCTTCAAAGATACTCTAGTGTTGCAAACGATCACACTTTGGACTCAACGACAATCTGCATTCATCCGCATTCTGGTCTTAGTCATTATCTGAACATAACAAAGTCCTGGACTTAGCAGCAGTCTGAACTCACCCATTCATTAACTCATCCCTAATTTAGCTATCACTCCGATTCATCCTTGAGAACCTCTGGTATTACCCTCGTCTGGGTGACCTTGCGTGACCCCTCAGGGAGGGGAGACCCACGATAGGAAAGGAAGAGACGGAGATGGGTGAAGGGGAAGGAAGGGGTGAAGGAGTGAGGGGGGGAACGCGGGGAGGAGAGGAAGAACACAATCATGACCTCGGGGCTGGCTGTATATAAGTCCCCACCCAAACCTGGAGCAGTCACCCTCTTCGACGTCTTCAGGCAGTCTGAGTCTTCAGTTCCGTCCTCAGTCATGCAGTCTGTGAGTGGCGAGGCGTAATACAGTGCCTTAGTGTTTTAGTGCCTTCAAGGGGGTATTGGGAAGATCTGATGCTGGTGAAGGGCTCTTGATCTAGTGATTTGAAGTTTGAAGTTAACCTCTCCTATCACTGATCAAATCTGATTTCCTCTCATACCCCAGGCGCTGTTTAGTTAATGATTTACGTCTGGTGAAGCAAAATTTATTATGGGATTTGATGTGAGTTCTCAAAATGGGTTGGCTCTTTTTTATAATTCATTTTCATTCTGCATTTGAAGAAACGAGTTTCTTTCGTTGAAACTGGGAGAGACATTGAGGTTAACTGTGTTTCGCCTGTAGGTGGTTCTCGCCTGTCTGGCCGCCGTCGCCGCCGCCGCCCCGCAGTTCGGTAGCCAGCTCGACCGAAAAGACTACCGGCCCATCGCCATCATTAAGGACAACCGCCAGGACTACGGTGACGGCAACTTCAACTATGACTTTGAGACCGAGAACGGCATCGTTGTGAGCGCCGTCGGAACACCGGGCTCTAAAGGCCAGAGCAATATACAAGGATCGTACAGGTCAGACGTCTAAGTGTGTGTGTGTGTGTGTGTGTGTGTGTGTGTGTGTGTGTGTGTGTGTGTGTGTGTGTGTGTGTGTGTGTGTGTGTGTGTGCATGCACGTCTTTGTGTCACTTCCCATTTGTGAGTACAGAAATGAAGCTGTGATCGGTTGTCACGTCTTCACACCATTGAGTTTTCTTCACATAATTCCTCAACATTCCTGGATTTTTGTCTAACTCATGCTTCCTCTTGGATTCCACTAGTACAGTCTTCAACTCTAAGAAAAGATGTTTCCTAGTGGCCTTTTATGTGCCACTTTTTTCTCAGTAAGAAATTTTCTGTCCTCTTATTTTTCAGTTTTATTGAGGATCCCAAGAAGATTGGTCTCGGATATTTTCTTAGATTATTTTATGATTATATTTGGAGTTATCAATACGTTATCTTCCTCTAGTGATACTGATCCTGTTGGGGCACCACCTGTGATACTGATTCTTGTGGGTTAGATTAGTGAAGGACTTGCCCAGTATGGGCCAACAGGTCTACTACAGTGTTCCTCCTTTCTTATGTTCTTATGTCAGAAGTATGTCATGTCAATGGCATGTTAAGTAGGATACCGTTACCTAGTGTCACGTCATAGAAATATGACTGATGAGTTAAAGTCACTATAGGTCAGCGATACTGACCTGTGGAAGCTCATACCCTGGCACTGCCCGCGGGCATGATCAGTTATGATGTAGACATCAGTGAGACAGGTTGTGCTGGCAACACACTATGGATGGGTTCAAGTAATATAAATGGAGATGATGGAGTAGTACACAAAGGCTCTGCCCAGGTTTACTACGTTGAAATGATGTGCCGTCTGATAGCACAAACTGTCGCCGCGTCGTAACTGCCTCATGCCCGCGGGCAGTTCAAGGGTATGATTTTCCACAGGTCAGCGCCGTTGACCTATAGTGACTCTAATTCACATTTCTACGATATGACACTAACAATATCCTGCTTAATATACCATTAACATGACATTTTATTGACACCCACAGATGACAATGATTCTTATGGGAAACCCAAGTTACAATGTTCCTTGTAGAACCCTACTGGTCACAATAATCCTTGTAGAACCCTACTGGTCACAATAATCCTTGTAGAACCCTACTGGTCACAATAATCCTTGTAGAACCCTACTGGTCACAGTAATCCTTGTAGAACCTTATGGTCACAATGTTCCTTGTAGAACCCTATGGTCACAATAATCCTTGTAGAACCTTACTGGTCACAATAATCCTTGTAGAACCCTACTGGTCACAGTAATCCTTGTAGAACCCTACTGGTCACAATGTTCCTTGTAGAACCCTACTGGTCACAATAATCCTTGTAGAACCCTACTGGTCACAATAATCCTTGTAGAACCCTACTGGTCACAGTAATCCTTGTAGAACCCTACTGGTCACAATGTTCCTTGTAGAACCCTACTGGTCACAATAATCCTTGTAGAACCCTACTGGTCACAATAATCCTTGTAGAACCCTACTGGTCACAGTAATCCTTGTAGAACCCTACTGGTCACAATAATCCTTGTAGAACCCTACTGGTCACAGTAATCCTTGTAGAACCCTACTGGTCACAATGTTCCTTGTAGAACCCTACTGGTCACAATAATCCTTGTAGAACCCTACTGGTCACAATAATCCTTGTAGAACCCTACTGGTCACAGTAATCCTTGTAGAACCCTACTGGTCACAATAATCCTTGTAGAACCCTACTGGTCACAGTAATCCTTGTAGAACCCAACTGGTCACAATAATCCTTGTAGAACCCTACTGGTCACAGTAATCCTTGTAGAACCCTACTGGTCACAGTAATCCTTGTAGATTATTATTATTATAATCAAGGGGGAAGCGCTAAACCCGGAGGATTAATCCTTGTAGAACCCTACTGGTCACAGTAATCCTTGTAGAACCCTGCTGGTCACAGTAATCCTTGTAGAACCTTACTGATCACAGTAAACCTTGTGGGACAACGCTAGTAAGGATTTTTTTCGTCAATATTCACAATGTTTTTCTTACAAAGAATCTCACCAGTGTTGTAGTATAGTGTTTATTTATAAAATATTTTGTAGTTCTGAGTTAAATGTTTACGAGAAAATCTATTCGAAACACTTCTGTGTTTCAGTTCTTTTATTAATGAAAATCCCCAGATTGTTGGACACAATGAGCTGAAATTTTTACATGAAAATATACCCGAATTTGAAAAAAAAGCTAAATTGGTCATATGTGAGCAGAGGTTGGGAGACAGTAGTCACCCAAGGTGCCTGAGAGACAGTAGTCACCCAAGGTGCCTGAGAGACAGTAGTCACTCAAGCACAGTGC